CTCGATCTAAACCGAGCGCGTTATCACTGGGCTGCCACTGCTTATCACTATCATAATCTATTATTTCTATGTTTGATATCCCTTGACGTAACACCGCTTCAATCAAACGTGACAATTTACACACACTCCTTAACTTGTTATCCTATTTCATTAAGTTTCCCATGAGATTATTTAATGAAATAGATACCCTTACTCTTAATCAAATAACCATGAACATATACCATAGAGAATGCTGGTAATAATATTTTTTCTTTTAGGAAATTGGAGTTATGACTTTTTAAGACAGGCATTTGTAATATAAGACTAGATAAGTCTTAACCTAGATAGAAATTAATCTTGCCTAGCATACTTCGGGGTGTGTTCGGCCAGGCATTATTCATAAGCAGCAGCGATGCATATTTCAATAGTGGATATTCTACGTTGTGCCATTATGTTTCCACGCTGGGAGATATAGAGGGTTTGAATCCCGTTAGGGGTAAATACTAAATATTTATATGAAAATATGAAATATTTGTCATGGGCTAAGTATTTAAGTGTCCTTCTCTTTACAAAGTCAACTTATTGGAGGCCATTAACTGATAAGCGTTGTTATATTTGAAAATATTCATGCAAAAAATTATAAATATATATAAGACTAGCATAGCCCGCGGCTCCGCCTGCGTTCAGATGAGCAAAAACCAAATTCTTAGATTTTACATATTAGTATACACTTACATTGCAGTTTCTGTATTCTTTCTCAGAAACAAGACATTTTCCCGCGGTAAAAAGTATCCTATATGTTGACCCAGACCAGCTATCACCATACCAAATTTTATCAAAATCCTTCCAGTGGTTTTTCTGTGATGCGGTAACAGACAGACAGACAGACAGATAGACAAAAATTCTAAAAAGTATAGATTCGGCCTCTGTATTGATAATAATGTTTATTTCAATAAGATTTTCAAATAAATATTCAATGTACAGATTCGGCTTAGTTACAATTTTATTATATCTACTAGCGGACCCGACAGACGTTGTCCTGTCTACACGTCTTTAATTTGAAAATTTCAAACTTTTTTAAATAATTTTTTTGATGAAAATTATTATTCAAATTGTGAATCTAAACCATTCCCAGATCCCCTTGAACACACACAAAAAATTTCATCAAAATCGGTCCAGTCGTTTGAGAGAAGTTCAGTGACATACACACTCACAGAAGAATTATATATATAAAGATGTATAGATTATAATGAATTATGAAAAGCAGACATTTTAAATAAAATTAACAATAATAATGAAATTGGTCAATTTTTACTTTGATCTTTCACAATGGAAACGTGTACACTGTCATAGCAGTGCCCATAATAGCTCTTCTTTAATTACATTGCTCATTATTAAATCATGATTTTAGGGCAAACTTCTAATTACTTTCGTTTACAAAGTTGGGCGTAAATATTTTATTTTTTCTTTCAAAACCCCTTTGATTGTGATACGAAGTAGTAATATAAATATTTTATTTACATTGATTATATTATTCTTATGATATCGATCAATCGAACATACTTAATTGATATTATCGATCTATTGTTTGTAGTTTATTGTAACTTAGTCATTTTAAAGTGTGATATAAAGTTTTACAATTATTAAGGATTTTTAGATTTTTACGATTCTTATAAGGTTTTTGATTTTAAATTTAATATGCAGAACATTTTAAATTTAATTTCTCCTTCAATAGGAGTCGTTTTCAAATGGGAGTGAGTAGAGCGTAACGAGCGCATGGAATGTTTTCTTGGACACGCAATGAATCTCCCTTTAATGTAGGGCAAAATAATGGCTTGCTACATTTTTAATATACTACGTTATACAGATGCGTTTTGTTATAATTACTTTTTAGCAAAAAGTTACACCAACTTAAAATTATCACGTAAATTAATTTAAAAAAAAATAATTTTCATTTAAAAAAATAACGAAAATTAGTTTCATGTTCGTATAAAATATTATATGAATAGAATTTACCTATCTATAAAAAAAACTATTTTTTTTGCATATAACACTAAAGCTCGTTAATAGCTACTAATAAAAAAAAATCAAATAGTTTGAGGAATAGAACAGGAAAAGAATAGAAGAAACTTTAAAACTTTTTTGTTTGAAACCTACTCTGTATAACTATCGTCTTATTTTTGGAGAACTCGAAGACTTTTATGGTTTAACTCTGTATCTATAAAGCCATTTTATTAATATATTGAAATCGATTTTTCTAAGATGAAAATACCACTTTACAAAGTATACATAAAAATAATCTTCTCTTCTTAATGATATCCCTACAGCGATTATTAAGTACTAAGTAATTTTAAGTAATAAACAGACAGATATACATGTTACCTATACATAAATAATAATCTTTACTTAACAGACACGAAAACCTAGTGTAAAATATTTGTTCTAATAAGAGCGGTAGTTCCAGAGATTACTGTGTACAAACATACATATATGTTCATTCTTAATAAAGCTATACATATAATAAAATTGTAACTAAGCCGAATCTGTACATTAAATATTTTTTGGAAAATCTTTTTGAAATAGACATTATTATCGATACAGAGGCCAAATATATAGTTTTTTGAATTTTTGCCTGTCTTTCTGTGTTTCTGTCTTTCTGTGACCGCATCACGGAAAAACTACTGGAGGGATTTTGTTGTTATTTGGTATGATGATAGCAGGTTATCTGGGTCAACATATATGACATTTTATTGCAGGAAAATATCTCATCTCTGAGAAATCTATACTAAACGCTAAACGTAAGTAGGGATGAACCCGAGCGAAGCGGGGGTGAGTCGCTAGTAGTATATTAAAATAGAGTTAAAGTAAAACTTTCATGAACTAGTGGTAAGTAACAAATAATAATATCGAAATGTCATCTGTCTGATGGGCTTATAGCTTAATTTCACATTAGTTCTTACTTAGTTTATCTCTGAACGATGTTGTCTGGCCATCGCGTGTTACATTTCCCTCTCATATATGTTGAGTTACTTTTAATTTCTATTGCATCGCTGTCAAGATTGATTTAGAAACGTATAAAAGTGTACTGTACGTAGAATCGAATTTATTTATGTAAACAATAATATTTAACATATTAATTAATGTATATATTTTTGTTTTCTTTTGATTCATTATATTGTGTTATGTGAGTTGTTAGTAGAACGTGATTAGTCAATAAATGTTATTTTATTTCCGATAAAAAGAGAAAAATAACTTAATGTCTGAACCATACTGTACTAATTTAAACTTAATAAAATATCTTCAGAAGTATTTACTGTTAAATTGGAATTATTCAAAATACTGGTATATTATACTCTTATATTATCTTACATTTATTCAATTCAGTTTTTTTTATTTAATAATTTACTCACTTTTATTAATATATATTATTAATATATAATTTATGCTTATTTAAAATATTAGATTTATTTTTAAGTAAATATTAGATTATTTATAAGTTTTTTTTTCAAAAACTAAAAAGTGATAAGTTGTTGAATTGTATCTCTGTGTGTTGTTGTATCTCTGTTTCTTTGTTGATTTGTTACCTTTTCACGGCTAAACGGCTGAATAGATCTTAATGAAAATTGGTATAGAGATAGTTTAAGCCGCGGGGAAGGACATAGGATACATAATAACCAAATATATAAATAACTGCTAATAATATGTGTTTCTATGCATTTGGTTATCTAACATAGCGGTAAAGTATCCGTAGATTTATAATTTAAATAATATTTTAATTATTCATACCAAGATTGTAGTCCAATTAATTAAAACAGTTCCCATTTCTTTTTATATTTTCGAATAATTGCTCAAACTAATTACTTATACAATGAATAATTATTAATTGAATCGTCTATAAATTACTTATATTTTGTTATTTTTGAAGGTAACTGATATTATCAAAACTCTAAAACTGGTTCCGCGTGAACCAACTAAATAATCATTATATTAATAGTATATAAAATTATGAATTTTAGCGTCCCGGAATGTCCGTGACCGTAACCCAGCTTCACAGTGACATATAAATTTAAAGGCATATACTAAAATTATTTGATTATATAAAGACCTTTATTTATTTAGCGTACCTAATAAAACAAACCGTGTAATTCGATTCGTGTGCCACAAATTGTTAGTTCACAATAATATCAGTATATTATGACAAAATCCTTTTTGAACTAAGTAGCAGATTAGTTATGTTTAGAATACATTATAAGCAAAGGACAAGGAATTACAGATATTTGCATCGCAAAGGCATCGAATGCGCTACCTCTACAAAATAAGCTCATTGTTACTGTACCAGATACCATATTGAGTGCTCAGTGGGTTTGTTAAATTTCTTTCACCTGTACAGCGGTCATGCGTCACGTTCTAACATATACTACTTTTATATAATTATAAGTAATGTGTGGAATCATAAGAAAATGTACTTTGCTTCCTCATTGAGGAAAAAGAAACATAAAATCAACAATCGTATACAACCCTATGAAATACAAGACACTTATCTGTTATTTTGCGGGTAATTTAATATTTTAATTCGTAAATTTTGCATATTAAACAAAATATGCTTGTAAAATTTAACTAATTAGATTTAACAGTTTTTTAAATATGCAAAATGTACCTTAAACTCATATTTGAAGGTTAACAAAGTTTTTCAGTGTGTTTCCACTTAAAAAATCATCACAAACGTGTTAAAATATGTACTTACTACCTACCTACTACAATATTTACTATCGATATTTATAGCATGTTTCATGGCTAACGTAACCTTATTGTATCAATTTATGTTAAAACACTTATATAACAACACTATTTTTCTTTAAACAACAGTAATTTTATAAAAAATATTATTCTATGAAAAAAAGACAACTTCCGGTAACACAAATGTCAAATTTCAAAAGAACAATAGACAAATAAAGTAAAGATGGTATTGAAAGATCAAGAGTTTTCTTAGTTTTGACCTTGTTAAATACTATTAACATTACCCAGCCATTTTGAGATGATCTCGCCTTTCGACCGTTGACTCTCACACTGGGAACAACACCAAACGGTCGAGTCACCACTGCCATATAAATTTAATTTTCGTTTTGTCGCGAGGCGGTTAGAGGCGGTCGTGCGCATGCGCACTACACGAACAACTGACGATCGCAGGTGCTATAGTGATGCGCGTTTAATTATTTTGATAAAAATACCATTTGTATGCTAATTTTTTTATATTAAGGTACTTGATAATTTTTATAGTCAACAATTAAAAGCGATTTCGTTTTAAAACGTATGCAGTGTACCGGTTTTTTAATTATTCCTTTGATATTTTTGTGTTAAATTTACAGCGAAAACATGAACATGTAATACAGAATTATCTGCAAATAACAATTTTTTTACGTAAGTTAGCTATAATTATATAAGATACCTAAACTATAATATTCGGTAACTTATGTTACCTAACATAATATTTTAGGTAATTATAATAATAGCTTTTTTAAGCTCAATAAAAATAATAACCTGATTGCATATTACATTTAAATAAATAAAATAAATAGGTATGTTTGGATAATAACACACAGCACCATCTAGTTCCATGGTAAGCTACGAGGCTTGTGTTATGGATTCCAGATAGTTAATACACTACACATATATAACTTTAAGTCCATACATGTTATAAATATAAACACTTATGACTGGAGTACTGGACATAAGTAGGTGGAATCAAACCCGCGACCGCTGGCACAGCAAGTAGGATTACTACAAACTGAGCCAAACGTGTCGTCAAAATACAACATAAATATATATATATAAAAGCTTATACTCGATAAAAGCCAGTGCATTGGAAGAACTAAAGTAAGCCATCACTAGTGCGCACGCGCCACGCTACAACGAACACAGTTTTATGGAAATAAGAAGTAAAATAAAAACATGGGATGATTATAATTGTGATGCGCACTGACCGTCACTATTATATTATCAAATATCGAAAATGGGTATTTTTATGAAACGACTCCAAACTGATATTCTATTATATACAAATAGATGTTATATTTGAATTTAATGTAGCTCTCTCAAGTAATCTTAAGCATTTATAATGCTAAGCTAAATTTAATAGTGTTTTCTCTCATTAAGGCATAGTTGTAACAATATGTAAATATTGCTGCGTCATATTCTAATACCATTTTATAGATTTATAAGCAAACCCGTGGGATAAAGTTAGACAATTATAAAAAAATGATAATATCTCTATACTTCGTTGCACTTTACGGAGACTTGAATTGTAGATACTGAGGTCGCAGGTGACAATTTAACTTATATTTTGAGTTTTTCAAGCGTTAAATATTAATTTAAAACTTTGACAAAATTATTGGGTATGTGATTCGATTTTTTATAGGTTCGATTCCAGCGTGGGGTGAAAACTATATTTTTACCATATGTATATTTGTTCCCATTAAGTCCAGAAAAGAATGTACATATGAATAATAAGGAGCTGACGTTAAATAACATACAATATTATACCTATTACAATATTCCTTTTAAAATTGTAAATTATTGTTTATTCGCATCACTAGATTCATTGAGTTTTCCTAAGACTGAGCGCATTTGTAGCTCAGTGGTAACATGTTCGCTTTGTAAGCCAAATGAAGTGGGTTCAAATTCTGGTTCTCACATTTCTGTTATTGTTATATTATGCGAAACATTTACAATATTTATTTATTTATATATAATTACATCAACAGCTTATTGTACAATTTACAATATGATTATACCTTGCCTAACGGTGCAGGCAATATTTTGAGGAACTTCCATGTCTGAGAGAATCTAGCAAGTTTTTAAAATGGCACATTTGAAAAAGATGTGTTCGAAGACGTGTAAAGTCTGCTAACTCACGGTTTTCTAGCATAGGGATGGGGGACTACAGCTTTAACCCACCTACATTGAATATTTAAAGATCCTAGTCTAGTATGGCGGAAGGAGGAGAGTTTACAAATCTTATCTTACTGTTTACAAATCCAGTGTTTGTAAGTAATGACTAATAGACACACAAACGTACAAAATGTCAACAAAAATTCTTTTATCTCAAACCTTGTGCTTTATCTCAAATGTGGATTAAAACAATCTTAGGCAAATCTTTAACTACTTATGATGGCATAGATGAACAACAATGACGTGATATGTAATTTGTTTAATTTGTTATTTAAAACGAATTTTGTTTATAATACAGATATATAAACACAAAAAGGTCGTTTTTATATATTATGAATTTTAACAGAATATTTTCTTATTTCTAAGTAATATAAAGTATGTTTGCTAATTCTGTCAGTTTGTTTATGCATCTAGGTCTTAGTAGTTCGTAGTTCTTATAAACAAGACAAAATGTAATGATATTTTTAATATTGGTTCGATTGAAAATACATTTATACTTTTAATCAACGTTTATTATTTATTACACTATTACTTTAAACGGTTCACAATAGTTGTCTTACAAGTCGCCATATTCTAATCCTCTATATCCTATTCCGTATTCACAATTACCATAGACCAAGTTTATAATATATACACATATATATATATATATATATATATAAATTTCCATTATATTTTGTGGTGCTCCCACAGACCCACTGTTTCAATCTTAAATAAAGAATTTAATTCAATTCCTTTAAAGTGAAAAATCTATGAAGTAGTTAATATATTTAACGTATCTGCGAAGATAACTGACATGTAAACGATTTCCTTGTAATGTGTACTTATAAACGTTGATTTCCCGTCAACGATATGAAATTACGCGATACTCTAAGTAGTGGTTAGATTATGAAGGTCTAAAAGAACGGCTCTATACTTGTTCATTATTGTCGCTTTATATTTCTGTAAATACTATAAGCCTATGTTTGAATGAGAAATAATGATTACACAAAACGTTCGAAATATTTTTTACAGAATATACATAGGTATATATTGTGTATTGAGTCCATTTTAATATCTCACTGGTGGGCACAGGCCTCTTTTCAATGCGAGGGTATCAGGCTATAACCCACGACGCTGGCCAAGTGCAGATTAGTGGGCTATTTAATTTTTTTTAAAACTTTCAATAAATTTCTAAGTGCCCTCAGACTTAGGTTTTTTAACGATGTTTTTCTTTATGGCAAGTGGAGTGGAAAGCATGCTATAATAATTATAAATTAAAAATTTTAAAAACCCCCTACGCAATCGCAATCGAGTAATCATACGCCAAAATGCCTTACATCATTTTGGAAAAGAGCTGATAATCTTACACTGAAACACACGAGGAATCAAGCATATTTATATTGCTTTATGAAAAAAGGACACATAAATAAGTCAACACCTGCTAAGAACAACATTGTAACTTAATATTTAGATAGTGTAAAATAATAGATAGGAATTAGTTTGGTATATTACACTTGATAATGTCCAAATTCAATATTACTATAGTACCGAGTTACAATATTCTACCTTGCAAATGTCAAAGTAAGATATGTACGAGTATATAGAAAAATATAACTAAAAATTTGGCAAGACTAACTAAGTTTCCTAAGTAAATATAAGCCAATAAAAACACAATACGATCAATAGTTTCAGAGAAAGCGTGGGCAAACATGCATACATCCAAACTTACATACGTCTGTACGTATAGTATAGGTGTCTGTCTACAGTAATGTGTATATTTGTTTGGAAACCCTAATAGATTATCATATATGATATCATATTGCAGTTCCCATAATATTAGGTACATATACATACATACTAGTCGATAACATCCTTTTTTGAAGTCGGTTAAAACTTACATGTTTATACTAAAATTTTAGCATTTTGGTAGTCATTTCAAGAGTATCGAACACCGGTTAACCTATTTTCGCTGGTCTGATATATGCGGAGGATCGAGCGGTTCTCTTTTTTATTTCACCATATTTTGGACATTGCATGTAGATTGTAGAGTGACATCATAAGCGTTTATTTTTACAGTACCACCAGCTGAGAAAATTTACTATTTTTGTAGGCTACATTTTTCTTTAATAACCATTTTACATTTTATTTATTATGAAAATAGAAATATTTAATACACCTTATAATATCTTCTAAAGCATTTTTTTTCGGAGCAGTAGCAAGGAGCACACAGGTGTTATATACAGGTGCAATACATTCCTTTCACACTCATTGTTCAGTAGAACTATCAACTTGAACAGATTAAAGTTGTAGCCAAGAATTTCTTAAAAAATCAATACATCTATATATATATATATATATATATATATATATATATATATATATATATATATAAAATAAGTCGTGTTAGTTACACTATTTATAACTCAACAACGGCTGAACCGATTTGGCTGAAAATTGGTGGGGAAGTAGCTTAGACCCAGGAGACGGACATGGGATACTTTTGCCTATATATCCCGTTCGATTGCGTTGCCGTGTGACGTGACATAAAACTCAAGAACGGCTGGACCAATTTTTATGATATTTGAATTTTTGGATTTCTCTTAGTCCGGAATAGGATAATAAGTATTAAAACATCAGAAAAATTAACGAAAATTATATGGCTAGCGCTGGCTAATAACTATTTATCTCTAGTTAAAACGTACCTAGCGACGAACCCGAGCGAAGCGAGGGTGAGCCGCTAGTATATTAATATATGCCCTACGTAGAACTTGAACCCTATCAAGCCGTGAAAGCAAGCCATGAAACATAGAATTAATATTTTATATACCTACACGAATTTATTGAGATTTCGTTAATAGTAGGTCGTAAGTAGCAGATTAAATTAGTATTTTAAATAGCTCTAAGCCTAATAACCTTCAAATATTTTCAATGTTTCTATTTTCATTGGCGTGAGATTGATTAGAAATAATTTCAATTTTCATAAAAACTCAGTTGTTGCCTTGATTTAATTTCGCCACTCCTACAATTGTAAAGTGTAGTAATTAATGCACAAACACTACGAAAAATGCATTTAAAATTTGTATATATCTGCATACAATAAAATATCTTATATACATATAATAAAATTGTAAGTAAGCAGGGCAAATCGCTACATTAAATATTTTTTGGAAAATCT